ACTCATAACATAAACACAATTTAAATGCAATCATAAAGGCATATTGCTCACAGTCTATCCCGTAGCGCCAAATCGCACCCTTTCCGGTGATTTGCACAGGCCCTAAAACTTTCGATTTCCACACCCCCCCCCTCGCAAATTTTTTCCAACCCAATTTGGCGCCCCCTAAGGTCGACACCCGGGGACATATGCCCCCCCCCTCTTGCTACGCCTCTCCTATAAAACCCCTAGCTTGTCCGCAAACCGAAAGATAGAATAATAATTAGTAAACAGTATAAATAATAGGCAGTATTTAAAATATCCGTGTTTTACCTACAATATTTCACTTTATCCATACACGCATTTTTTTCCAGTACTTTAAATTTTAAAAATTTACAATAGAGTTTCAAAACTAAAACCATTGCGCACCTAATGAACGTGATGACGCATCTATAATAGTGCTGAATAGTTGATTAAAAATTATAAGTAATAAACAGTAGGGCCTACATTCAGTGAATAAAATAAATAAAAGATTGCCTTTTATCAATCCATGCTAATTATAATTTTCTAACAATAATTTCCTCTTACACATCCACATAATTTGCATTCACATTTTGCTAATTATATTATTGCAACACTAATTCCTTCTATGACGAACGTATATTTGCATTCACATTTTTTATTAGCGTGAGTTTAATGTATTTTAAAATTACCTCCTTAATCAAAATTAGAAAAGAGTTAAATTAATTTGATTTTTCTACCGTACTGTTATTATGTTATTAAAATGTATCCACTTTTTCGAGGAATATTAACGAAAACTATATTTGACATTGATCCTTTTAATATGTTTTAGCAATGTGCGTGTATTTAATATTCTCTTTACGTTATGCAAAATTGTACAAACAGTGGAAATTATAAAATAGCTCTATGCCACTATATAAACAAACCCTACTCTAATACTTATAATAAGACACTGCGGTGCACTGTAAAGCACTGCGTGGTGCGAATGTTTACTTTTATGGTTCCAAAAGCTATAGCGATGACAGAAGGAAGGAAGGACTGACACACGCTCAGCCCGCTTATATTATAGATATATATATATATATATATATATATATATATATATATATATTTATATATATATATATATATATATATATATATATATATATATATATATATATATATATATATACACATATATATATATTTATATATATCTTTATATATAACGCAAAGTGGTCAAGTGCCCGACAGGGCACTTCCCGGCGCAGCAGGCTCGTCAAATTTGGCACGATGGTGCCTTCGGGCGATAGAACACGAAGGCCGGTGACGGTTGGCCGAAAAGTCTACGGAGAGGGGGTCAAAACTGACCTCGACTGACCGGCGCCTTATATGGGCTATTTCCCTATATAATCTTTGTATTTTATGGGAAAAACAGAGGGTGATTTCAAAACGGATTTTAGGGCACTTACCGTCTTTACATCTGGCTAATTTTTTGCATGCTCTTAGGTAAATGGTTTGACCTTTAGGGAAAACTGTCGGTTTCACTCAAAGCCCTAGACGAGGGCTAAAAAGTGACCGCGAGTGCAATTCTCTTTATATGAGCTCTATTGCGAAAAAAAATTTCCTCCGACGACCCCCCTTGAAATTTTGTGTGGTGGTAGGAGAACGCCTTGGGATGTCCCAAAAAACTCGCCATGTCCGGGAAAATTCGTTAAATGGGTCAAAACTGACCAGTCGTATTTCCCTATATAATCTTTGTATTTTATGGGAAAAACAGAGGGTGATTTCAAAACGGATTTTAGGGCACTTACCGTCTTTACATCTGGCTAATTTTTTGCATATATATATATATATATATATATATATATATATATATATATATATATATATATATATATTACATAAATCCTAATAATCGTTATTTTTGCGTATTTTTCAACGACACTGATTTAGCTTTAACAATGGACAATTAGTGTTTGATGCAAACGTGCCATTTTTTAAAATTTAAATCGACCTGTGTGGACTAGAAGGGGGGGGGGGCAGTGTTTCTTCCAGACTTTTTTCTATGGGGGGGGGGCACTTGAAATTTTCGGGGGGGCGGTAGACTTTCTTCGGGGGGGGGGGGGCGGGCTCTGTTAAAAGTATATATTTTCTATATAAATTATATAAATTTCATTTCGTTCGGGGGGGGGGGGGGGGCGATAAAAAAGAGATGCCTGGAAGAAACTCTGGGGGGGGGGGGGGTTGGGTCAATGTGAACGTCTACATGTTGAATTTTACATCAAAATACTTATGTCTGAACTTTAAAAAAATTTAAAAATAAATTAAAAAACTGCATAGAGTTCTAAAATGTGTGAATTAAATGGACTATTCTAGTGTTAAAAAACACCTGCTTAATGGGGGAATACATGTATTAGAGATGTATCTGTACACTTCTCGATTAAACAAGCGTCGTATTTTTACAAGCGCGAAGGAAAGGGGGGGGGGGGGGGCATTGACCGCGGCAATCATCTTAATTAAACTATTTACGGTATTTCAAGTTAATCTTTTGTGTCAAAACCTAAGACGATGAAGGAATGTAGGTCTAGTTTTGTTTTTTCAATAAACTCAAAATAACCACGTTAAAATTAGAAATTTAAATAACGGCGCATGTAGAATGTGCTTGCGTGGTCAGGCGTGTAGGGCTCACGTGGTCAGGTGGGTAGGGCTCACGTGGTCAGGTATGTAGGGCTCACGTGTTCAGGTGTGTAGGGCTCACGTGGTCAGGTGTGTAGGGCTCAAGGGGTTCAGGTATGTAGGGCTCACGTGATCAGGTGTGTAGGGCTCACGTCAGGTGTGTAGGGCTCACGTGGTCAGGTGTGTAGGGCTCACGTGATCAGGTGTGTAGGGCTCACGTCAGGTGTGTAGGGCTCACGTGGTCAGGTGTGTAGGGCTCACATTGTCAGGCGTGTAGGGCTCACGTTGTCAGGTGTGTAGTGCTCACGTGGTCAGGTGTGTATGGCTCACGTTGTCAGGTGTGTAGGGCTCACGTGGTCAGGTGTGTTGGGCTCACGTTGTCAGGTGTGTAGTGCTCACGTCAGGTGTGTAGGGCTCACGTGGTCAGGTGTGTAGTGCTCACGTGGTCAGGTGTGTAGGGCTCACATTGTCAGGCGTGTAGGGCTCACGTTGTCAGGTGTGTAGGGCTCACGTCAGGTGTGTAGGGCTCACGTGGTCAGGTGTGTAGGGCTCACGTGATCAGGTATGTAGGGCTCACGTGTTCAGGTGTGTAGGGCTCACGTGGTCAGGTGTGTAGTGCTCACGTGGTCAGGTGTGTAGGGCTCACGTTGTCAGGTGTGTAGTGCTCACGTCAGGTGTGTAGGGCTCACGTGGTCAGGTGTGTAGGGCTCACGTGATCAGGTATGTAGGGCTCACGTTGTCAGGTGTGTAGGGCTCACGTTGTCAGGTGTGTAGTGCTCACGTGGTCAGGTGTGTAGGGCTCACATTGTCAGGCGTGTAGGGCTCACGTTGTCAGGTGTTTAGGGCTCACGTGGTTAGGTGTTTAGGGCTCACGTGGTCAGGTGTATTGGGCTCACGTTGTCAGGTGTGTAGTGCTCACGCGGTTAGGTGTGTATGGCTCACGTTGTCAGGTATGTAGGGCTCACGTGGTCAGGTGTGTTGGGCTCACGTTGTCAGGTGTGTATGGCTCACGTTGTCAGGTGTGTAGGGCTCACGTGGTCAGGTGTGTTGGGCTCACGTTGTCAGGTGTGTAGGGCTCACGTTGTCAGGTGTGTAGGGCTCACGTTGTCAGGTGTGTAGGGCTCACGTTGTCAGGTGTGTATGGCTCACGTTGTCAGGTGTGTAGGGCTCACGTGGTCAGGTGTGTTGGGCTCACGTTGTCAGGTGTGTAGGGCTCACGTTGTCAGGTGTGTAGGGCTCACGTTGTCAGGTGTGTAGGGCTCTCATGGTCAGGTGTGTAGGGCTCACGTTGTCAGGTGTGTAGGGCTCACGAAAAAAGAGGTAGAGGTGGTTTGTTATGGAAACACGTGTAGCAAGGAGTGTCCGTAAGTAATATGACGTCATGTTGATTTTACCTCAACCCATATAATCATCAATAGTTAGCTTAGGCTAGGTTTGCCTGTCGCCCCTCTTGGGACATAGGCCGCTGACAAGAGCTTTCCAGGCGGCTCTGTCCATTTTAGTCTCTCCAACTGTCCCCCAGGTGTATCCAACCTTCTTGGTGTCTTCTTACAGGTCACGTCTCATTAATAGCTAGACGTCAAATAGTTCCACTAACCCACGTGCTATTGTTAAAAAATATTTTACGACTGCCTGCAACCTCTGACTACTTTTAGGAGAACACATTTTTTTGTTTTTAGGAAGAAACCGATGTATTAATTTATGAATATATGTGTAAAAACTAAAAAAAAAGCAAATTGATGTAAATGTTTGAATTATGGTACAGACTAACGCACACACCCGTATGTTAATATACTTGTCTATATATTTTTTTAAAAGTATTTAAAAATAATTTTAAAAAATCATCACAAAAAAACAACAGATACGAATGTATTTGTATGGCCTGTTGTGTCCGTAGAATTTTTTTGTATGTTGCATTTTAAACCATAAGAAGTAGTCAGTACGACAACAATAAAATACTGCAGTAACAATATAATTATTCAATTTAGCCTCAAATATTTTTTCTATACTTTATTAACTTTTGACTAAAAACAACAGTTATCTTTTTCTATTTTGTAAACATTTTTTTTAAATTACTTTGATCTATGACATAATATATTAAAACTTGATTTACTGCTAATCATTTTGGGCTTTAAGTTGAAATGGGTTTATTCCTACTCAACAAAATAAACTGAAACTAGAACGATTGATACACATTTATTTATCTTAGAGCTGATTTATTAATCTTAATACTCGATGTCCAACAATTTATAATGTACTTTTTCCATGAGGCGGAAATAACAAAAACCGAAACCGGAAGTTGACACCCCAAAACATCATACTTTTTTTTCTGTCCACAGGCCAGACGTGACCAGTTCGCACTGGCCGACAAGTCCAGAACGTCCTCGACCTCCACGGAGAATGACCTCGACCTTGACACCAACTTCATGGAAGTGATAGAATCCAGAGAGCGGGTATGCTTTGACCTTAATAACCTCGAACCCAACGAGTCGTCGTCGAAGGTCGACGACCTACTCAGCCAGAAGCGGATGAATTACCTTAGGGTACTATTTCTCGACCCCCAATCTACACCCCTCGCCTGGCTTGTTCACATTTTTGTTTCGTTTTTTTTTTAGATGTTGCATTTTGTTGCACCGCATTTTTTAAAACCCTCACTGTATGGTTCAACATACCCGTCCAATTTTACTTACTGTTTGTGAATTAAATGGCGCATGCGTACCCTTGTGGTATTTATCTCACCTGTCCGTAATTATGCACGACCCTGCTTAATTAAGCCAATTTATGGATGGTGGTAATATAAAAAACTATATGAGTATATACATATATATATATACATATATGTATATACATATATGTATATATATATATATATATATATATATATATATATATATATATATATATATATATATATATATATATATATACATATACATATATATATATACATATATATATATGAGCCTATAATATATATATATATATACATATACATATACACATACACACACACACACACACACATATATATATATATATATATATATATATATATATATATATATATATATATATATATATATACAAATACAATAATACTTTTTAACAATTGATGTTGTCAGGTTTAAAGTAAGCTTTACATTAAGAAACATGCTTTTATGGAGTAATAGAAGTAAATGAGAGGTTAATAACTAATAAACTGCTAATGAGTGTTGAGTAACATGTTAAATGAACACAATGTTAAATCAAATAATTATCAATATAGTTGGACTTGATAAAATACCACATATAGTATTCATCATCTATGGACGTGCCAAGTGTACAGCTAATCAACATGAAACCGCAAACAGATCCAAATACCCTCACCAAATCCGACACGTTTTCTATATCAATATAGTACAATATAACTAATTAAAGCTAATTAACATATGCATAGTAATTAATCCTTCTCTAATTGAAACCACTACCTTTATTATGCCTCGTGTGTATTGCAATTTATTAATTGACTAAATTAATAGACTTTTGCTTTTCTATTCATAACACAAGCATATCGATTAATCGACTGATTAGTAAACATTTAGTCTTGTCGCTCAAAATCTAACCATCCAACCAATAAATATATTAGTTGTGTATGTTTTATTTTTTGATTATCAAAACTAACTTTATCGAGATTATTATTTGCTGAGCTGCAATTAATTGTATTTGTTTTTTTTAGAATTTCACATAGTTTTTCTAAATGATAGTTTTTATTTGATTTCATTATTACTTTATTCGTTGTGATTGTTGTAAAGAGGGTTTAATTTTTTATTTATTTTTACAAACAATTTTGAATTTATTTTCTGTAACTACAGATTATTTGAAACATTTGTTATCAAATTATTTATTTAGGGGAAATAATTCAAGTAATCAAGTGTTATTTTCATATTGCAGAGTGATAAAATTAAATTTAGACAGACATATTGTTTGTTATTAATTAGCTTAATATTTATTTTAAAACAAGAGAAAATGCTTTTAAAAATTAAATAAATTAGCCTTCACTTGACATACGTATAAATCAGTCAGTATAAAAACATTTGTTTAATTTTGTTCTAATTATGAACATAAACGATTATACTAATTATAAGATTTTAAATTTAGTAAAGTAGAATCACAATTTATTTTTAAATCTAAAATTCTCTGTGACAAACATTAAACCGAAAGGTGAAGTTTATTTTCCCGCCATTTTCAGAGCGCTTCCGATTTGTCAATCGTCAGGCAGAAACCAGACAGCAGACCCCTGCAGCAACTGCAGACCCGCACCCACAGACCCCTGGAGGCGACCCATTCCTTGCAAGGTACGTGTGTGGGCAGATAGCGGTCCGTTTTTACACGGACCAGATTTTGTATGGCCAATGGAGGCTAGTGCAGAGGCGTAGCGGGGGGGGGGGGGGACATATGTCCCCGGGCGCCGACCTTAGGGGTGCGCCAAATTGAAAGTTTGAGAGGGGGTGCAAATGAAAAGTTCGAGGGGGGTGCAAATTTAAAGTTTGAGGGGTAGGGGGGGGGGTGCAAATGAAAAGTTCGAGGGGAGGTTGCAAATCGAAAGTTTGTCCCCGGGCGCCGGGAAGGGTCGCTACGCCTCTGGGCTAGTGGTAATCATATTTTCGTGTCTATTTTAGTGACGTGTTTTACAGAGGTATTTGTATCGTGTATTTTCGTGTCAGTTTATTGTGTTTCGTGTTATGAGTTTAGCTTTTTGTCTTCATGTTTTTTTGTTTCTAAGTGTCTTGTGATTATATTTTTGTCTTGCCGTTTTTACCCTACATTATTGTAGTAGTCTAAGTTTTTTTCCCCTCGTATTATTGTTTGCATTACTTTATGTGTACGACTACTTAAGTTGTACTTAACCTGGTCTATAACGCGTACATAATTGATTAAATTTTGATGGTTTCTTTTATGTGTGTTTTTGTCTTATATAAATGTTTTATCAATTATTTTCTGTTACTATTATTCTAATGTTTCTATTTGTGTATATGTTTAAATTCTTAAAACTAGGGTCATCATTTTTTAACAACGCTCTCTAATACTAAGGTTATGTTTACAATTTAGGACTATGATTTGCACATTTTTATTTATTTGGGTTTAGTCTTAAGTTAGTCGGGCTAATAATAGTCAAAATATTAGAAGTAGATCAAGGATTATTCAATAAGAGTAAAGATTTATCATGGGTTTAGTACTAGGGACATGCTTAGTGTTATGCTTGGGATTATCGATAGATAAAAGTAAGGTAGGCTATATAACAGAGGCGTAGCGACCCTTCCCGGCGCCCGGGGACAAACTTTCGATTTGCACCCCCCCCCCCTCGAACTTTTCATTTGCACCACCCCCCTCAAACTTTCGATTTGCACCCCCCCCCTCGAACTTTTCATTTGTACACCCCCCCTCAAACTTTCAATTTGGCGCCCCCCCTAAGGTCGGCGCCCGGGGACATATGTCCCCCCGCCCCCCCCCCCCCCCCTCGCTACGCCTCTGGTATATAATATAAATATCGTTGACTAAGACAATGCTAAGCGAATATATGGGTATGCCTAGTTAACATGTTAATCAGTATTAACAGGATATACGATACAATTATTGTTGACTGATATGATTATCTGTGACTAATTCAATGCTATACGAATATATGGGTATGTTTAATCAAAATGTAAATCAATATTTAACAAGATAGGCCTACATAATACAAATATCGTTTACTAAGTCAAATATGATACGAATATATGGGTATGCCTAGTCTATCAGTATTTAACCACATTTTAGCGCTGCTTTGAAGTCTTTACTTGATATTGCTTCCTGCATGCTTTTTGTTACTATCCCAACAGCAGGTTATATCAGAGATCTCAAGTTATTGTAAACATGTCATGTTACTGTATAAGTGGGCAGTGGCGTAGGCAGAAGGGGGGGGGGGGGTTAGGGGGGGTCATAACCCCCCCCCCCCCCCCATAGACCCCTCGGTATTTATATATATATATATAAAGTATGAGGGGGTGGTGCAAATCGAAAGATTGGGGGGGGGGAGCACATCGAAAGTTTGTCCCGGGTAAAAATTGGACCCCCCCCCCTGAGACGATCCTGGCTACGCCACTGTAAGTGGGGTGGAATCAGGATATATGCCTGACAGCAGGATTAGACACACTATGTTAAATCTAGGCATTAGATAAAGACCAAAGTAAAGACATATAAGTATAGCCAGATGGCATATGAGTTCAAGACTCCATACGTCACTGCTCGCCACATCCACTATGTCATACAACTGACTTTCCTACCTCCATGAAGTCATAATGTTGACATCACAATGTACTGCCCTAATGAAGTCATAAAGTTGACTTTCTCACCTTCATTAAGTCATAAATTTGACTTTCCCACCTCCTTGAGCTGACCTACCACCTTGCCACCACCATTAAGTCATAAAGCTGACCTAAAACTTCACTAAATTAAGCTACTAAATGAAATCATAAAGCTGACCTACCACCTTCCCACCACCATAAAGTTATAAAGCTGACCTAAAACTTCACTAAATTAAGTCACTATATGAAGTCATAAAGCTGACCTACCACCTCCCCACCACCATGAAGTCATAAAGCTGACCTACCACTTTCCCACCTCCCTAAATGAAGTCATAAAGCTGACCTACCACTGTACCCCCTCCCTAAATGAAGTCATAAAGCTGACCTACCACCTCCCCACCACCATTAAGTCATAAAGCTGACCTACCACCATTAAGTCATAAAGCTGACCTACCACCTCCCCACCACCATTAAGTCATAAAGCTGACCTACCACCATTAAGTCATAAAGCTGACCTACCACTGTACCACCTCCCCACCACCATTAAGTCATAAAGCTGACCTACCACCATTAAGTCATAAAGCTGACCTACCACCATTAAGTCATAAAGCTGACCTACCACCATTAAGTAATAAAGCTGACCTACCACCATTAAGTCATAAAGCTGACCTACCACTATTAAGTCATAAAGCTGACCTACCACCATTAAGTCATAAAGCTGACCTACCACCATTAAGTCATAAAGCTGACCTACCACTGTACCGCCTATATCAGGTCAGCCACCACAAGTCGCAACTGTGGGTTTCTTAGGTCTAAGCCCTGACTGGAGGAGACACCAGCTGAGGAAGATGGGTGACACCATCGACAATGGACGCGCATCTGAGAAAAGTGCGTTTACCATCACCATCTCACAATGTAACACCCAACTGGTTATCCCATTATTTTTTTTAAACGACCAACTAATTTTTTATTTTTTTTAAAAAAGGTTTTTGTCCAATTTTGAAGTTTTTTATACTAAATATAGAATAGTACACATACATACTAATTAAGGGTGATCGACTAATTCAAAAGATTAAACTTAGGTATTTTAGTATTTTTCCGCCCTATTTTGTTTCGTGGACATCAAGTTGTGGGGTATTGTTTTTACATGTTATGACTTTTCCGATTTTTAAAAATATAGCTAAATATATATTTCCTATTTTCTATTGTCATATATGACAATGTATATATCCGAATTTTCTTTTTACTAATATTTAAATCAATCTAACCATATTCTGCACAAAAACTCATACATTTTGCTAAGATGATTTTAATACAGTCAATGATTAATCATAACCCAGATTAGGAGTTTCCTAATGTCTGCACGTATGATAGGGGAAAAAGAAGACCATTTTATATACGTTTTCACGAAAATTAAATCCTCACCTCACCTACTTTATTTAAACATCCTCGGCTGTATTAGGTAGAGGTCATTTTAGCAAATTGTTGTTTTTGTACAGACTAATTATACTAACACACATGCATATTTTGTACTAACAACGATATTAAATTTTGATTAAAGAGACATAATGATGCTCAATATTCTGGGACTTCCATTCAACTGCATTTAATGAACACAAAAACATAAACACAAAAAAATTAATTAGACAATATTACAATATTCATTTTATTTATTGTCATTTTTTTAAAATTATTCTGTGGTTTTCCCCATCAATATCCATTGTATTATTAAAAATATAATTAAGCTCTTATAACTGAAAATACATTTTAAATATATTTAAAGCTAATAGAGTGGAGAAAATATTTCGTAAGTGATGAATAAAGTTTCAGCCTGATTAGTTATTCTTTTGTATGAATAATAGAAGTATAATTCTTTCAGTGCAAGAAAATATATTAAATCTATCTCTTCACGATTCTATTCCATATTTATTAATATAAATTTTAAAATAAAATAAAAATATTTTTATTATTTCAAACGTGTATTCATAATTTCGTAAGTTCAAATATAATATAAATAATTTTTTTTCTGAAAGATTCAATAGGATAGGACTATTTTTTTAAGTTAGTAGATTAAATATATACCCATTTTTTTAATTATGGTTTTTACAAATCTTATATTTATTGCAACGATTTATAAAATAATTATTAAAATTAAAATTTAAAGTAAAGCTACATTTTTTTAGTTTAAATTTTTTACATACATTACCCATCTATATGACTCTTTATTTTTCCCCTATACTCACTTTAATATTAATGCGATGTAATGTATTGATTGATCGACCTTTAACCTTCGCTCACCTTTTCTCTCATGGCATGCAGCGTCTAAGTTTGAGAAAGACCGTTCGCTCTCCCTGCCCCCAGTGTTGGAAGGTAACATTGTGCTCCGACTAGTCAACTGGGCTAATCCTACACCCTTTTTGTTTGCTACTCGCCTCTATTGTTTCAGATCTTTTTATAAACATGGCTCTGTAGCTTTGTTTAGATAAAAAAAATGTATGCATCTTTTGTGTTGAAATAGAAATGTCAATATCTTTCGCTCAGAAAAAAAACTATTTATGCATTTGAAGCTCAGAAAAACAATTATGCATCTTTTTTGCAGAAAATAAATGTACGCATCTCTTGCTTAAAAAAAACAACAACTGTATATTGTGCTGTGTACTAGCTTGATATTCAAGTGAATATATACTACATTTCTCAGATGTTTGTAAGGCCAAGCAAATAATAAAAAAAAACAGAAAAGTAAAAATATCTATTGTTTAGATAATTATTTATTTCATACAATTTATGAATTACTTTTTATTTACTTAAATGAAACAGAAAATTGTAATTATTGTAAAAAGGATGATAAAATGTCTTATATAATGTGTCTAATTCAATTTCATTTTTCAGTTTAATTAGAGTTTTCATTGAAGTTTTTAAACACTAATGTTTGTTATGCTAGCTATTTATTTTGTTATAATTGCATGAAAATCCCATTTCTGTACTAACTGCATCTTGCATGTGTCTGTATTCTGCTACTAGTCATCCAAATACTGGTTCATTAACGTCGGGTGATTGACCTAGTTGTGTTTCGTTTCTTTAGCTAGTGCTAGTTTTTGTGTGATTAGCTTTTGTATTTTTCTGTGTGTGCTACAGACATAAATGCTTGAACATTTATTTTTGTATGCAGGTTTATTACGTGTTAGCGTATTTTATGCATTCACAATATATTATTATGTAGGAAGATGTTTATTGGAAAATATGCAGTTAATTATCAAAGAACGAATTATAAACCTTAAAGTATTTAAAAAGAAAATTAATGTTTTAGTTAAATAAAATGTGGAATCGAAATTACAAGTTATAATATTGATTGCTATATACATTTTAATTAAATTGCTTAATATTTAGTTCCAGCTTTGTCGTAACCCATGATGATATAAGTAATCAACTTGGTTAGGAGTAGATAAAATAAGAAGAGTAAAATATAGAAATAAAATGGAGACTGATATAAGTATTTAATTAAACAGGTACACGCTTTTCTCCGATTTTTTAAAACTGTTACAAATGTAAACAACAAAAGTAAACATTAATAGCACCTTTTGTTAGTTTATCAAATAACATTTTTAAAACACTCCTAAAAACAAAGAGTCCATCTATTTTTAATATTGATTTTTCCGTGAGTACAAGTCTCCTGATGTTGACTCATTTTAAATGTAATTTAACAGCTAATGTGTACACACTGACTGCACTCAGATTGTGTACTTGTAATGACCGTTTATTTATACACAGTGGCTGTACACACATTGATGAGATACACATTTGCAATAAGCACATCTACTACACTTACGCTAAGCTAAGCGTATGTAATGCTTAAAAGAGTAATTATTGACTGTATATCATTGAAAAAACGAATATACTTTTATCTTTCGTATATAAACACGTGATAACTTTAGCCGTCGTCAAAAGGATTGAGCAAGCTATAAAAAACATCTACATTAGTATATTTTTAGATTTTAAGGTAAAATGTATACGCCTATATATATATATATATATATATATATATATATATATATATATATATATATATATATATATATATATATATATATATATATATATATATATATATATATATATATATATACATATACATATATATATACATATACATATATATATATATATATATATATATATATATATATATATATATATATATATATATATATATATATATATATATATATATATATATATATATATATATATATATATATATATATATATATATATATATATATAGGCTAATTATTGGTTAATTTGAGAAACGCAATGTCAATGTTTTCATTTCACTTCCGGTCCCGCTTTCAATTTTCTCTGCGACCTTGTACCAAAGGTCTGTGTTTCCTGTTTGTTGTGACTGACGCCATCTTTGTTGTCTTTGGCCGTCCAGAATCAGCCCTCAGCTATCTCAACTACAACCGCCAGCTGTCCATGAGGACGTCACGGACGGTGCCGGCAGAATCCGGCGTCCACTGGTCCGGCAGCAGCACTAGCACCGACAACAGCGATGACGTCGTTGCGGACGCACGTCATAAACTCGTTGGCCGGAGCGCCAGTGATAGGGAAGCCTACGACACGGACGCCGCTATAGGGTGAGTTATTTTAAGCGGGGCGACCACTGCGCATGCTTGGTATTTTTTAATTTTTTAATTTTTTTTTTTTTTTTTTTTTTTTTTTTTTTAATAGTCTATCATTTCTAAGCATGGTTTTGTTTTTACTCATTTACCATCACGACACTTGGCGGTCTGTAGAGTAGATGAAGTAGAGTTCCCGTGCTTGAAAAAAATATTACATATTGTGTTGAAAATATGATGTGATTCTTTGACAGCTAAATGCTTATTAGATTACAAGTAGGCCTATTTACTTGCTAGATAATTTAAAATTGACATTAACGCCTAACTTATAGGCTACTAGAAAATGATTTCATAAATAATTAGGATAAATAATAAATAGATTAAAAATCAAGTAGACTTAATTAAAATGAGATCTAGCAATAGTGCTATTTTAAAATTATTATTGCTTTTTTTTAAATTTTGTAATTTTCAAGCCTTTGCTCTATATAGCAACATTTTTATATGATAAATTTAATTTATAGGAGTAGTTTTTAAAATAAGCCGATGTATAAGTGAGATATCAATTAACTTGAATTATGCAGTCCATTTAGAGCGCCTGTTAATATTAGCTGGCTATGGCTATAAATAGTTTTACTTTCGGCACAATGACTGTTCCTAGAGCTCATGAGTGGGCTCGGCTCCTACTGACTTAATCCCGGATTCGAACTCGAGACTTACGGGTTAGCAACCTAGTGATTTAACATCTGAGCATAATAGTCTTAGAATAGTGAGATTATTGATAAAAAAGGTATGCAAATGCATTTTGACGCCTTCTTCTATTGTCTTGAACCCTGCTGCGAATTCGAGACTTTAGGCTTAACGCGATAAATCGACCGCTAAGTAGTGCGGGATCGCTGTAATCTTTAAAACAAATTATTTACTTCTTGTAAAAGGTGAAAAAAAAATTTAAAGTAGGCCTACTCTGTGGAAAAAAACAACTATTAAACTCTACTTTGTCTACCCATTGACCTTCAAATTTACCAGAAAACTTTTTAAAAAAATATTTTTAAAAAGCAACAAATTGTCGTGAATAATTATATCACACTTCATACGTTAAGGAAACTCAGTACTTCACTATGACTGCTTCGGGACGTTTTATAATTAAATGCATGCTAATTAACAGGACGGTAATTAGCGATACAACGTCAGAAGAATCGTCCCCTGATGGTGACCGCGTCTCGGAGCTTGAGAAAGAATTGATGTAAGTTTTTAGAATTTTGTACCAATCACCTTAAAGCAACTCTGCTTAGCTCCATTTCATTGCGATTATTTACCCTTATTGTCGAATAGGTTAGGCCCCGTTTTGTTTGACTGTTGATCGCCTTCTAAATAAATAGTTGTTTGTCTATTATTTTGTCGTTCTTTTGTCTTTATAATTATACTGCACTTAAATTGGATTTTATTTTATGCACATCGCATGTTTTGACTTTCGTTTTTTCTTAAAGTATCATAATTTTCTATTCTTTCACTCAAAATGTTATTACTACAATGAATAGTCCTTTAACGGCTAAACGGTCAAACTTACGTTTTAACAATAGTGAATTTAGATTAACGATAATCATAATCGAATCATGTCCCTATCTGTCTTTCCACATTCCTATTGCTTTTTCTTTCACAAGACCTTAAATAAAACCTAAACATAACTCTAACAATATTATTAAGCCTAAACTACATCTCTTAGGTTTTTATTTTGTTATCAGCACACATACACTGCTAATAGTTAGAGACTAAAAATATAAGGTCTCAAACATAAGTATTACAATTGTGTAATGTATCTAAAAAGCACAATTTTGGAAATAATGTAAGTAAAACGATTCAAATGCGTCGATTTTGTATTCATTAAACATTAAAATATTTTGCGAGACGTATTTTACAGTTTGACACAGAGTGCAAATGTAGTACTGACCTGTTATTGATTGTTACATTTTGTGCTAATATTTGGTCCATCAGTCTTGAAAAAAAATATATAAAATCATCAGTGATAAGTTATTTATAATGAAATATTCACAGCGTTTTTATCACACATGACCAAATTAAAACACAATACTGTTTCCAATTTTGCGTAAAAAAATATTTGAGGTTTTTATTTTGAGTATAACTTGGAAGTGCTGAGTATTTAGTTTGGTTGTTTCCCCTGAATGCGTAAAAAAACGGCAACATTTTTAAAAATATAAATTGTAATTAATAAACATTGTGCACTCTTCTGCAATCTGGAGTTTTATTTAGATTGTCATCATTGCTACACGGCGTGCGTAGGGAATGTCACATTAATTAGTCATACATTGCCATGGGGAGGGGATGAGGAAAGGAGTGGATGTTTTTTGATTATCATTATTGCCATTTCCATACAGGCTACAAAAGAGCGCTGCGATTGTTATTGTTTCTGCCTTCTATTGTTATGTAATAAGTAGAATATCGAGGACGGAATTCTATTGATTTTATCATATGCGTTTTGTTTCTTTCTCTTAAAGAATGTTTTATACAACCACTATATATAAGAATATATGTTTATATATCTTTCTATATATAGGTCTATACACACGCACAAACATATATATATATATATATAAATATAGCTATATATATATATATAGCTATATTTTTAAAGCTATATATATATATATATATATATATATATATATATAATGTATATAAAGCTAGCCATTTCGACCATATAGTTCCTTGAGTATATGAAGTATATGATTATTGCTTATTTCTTTTACTTAAGCGTATATAGAGTTATTGTGGGCAGTACTTTGCCCACCTTCCCTTACTTTCTCCAAATTTAGTAAAGTACTTATTATAGCTGGGTGTGCTCAACGGTATCTGAACTATTGGCCTATACTTAAATATGGATGAACAATAAATATAGCTACATGCCAGACTTAACGACATCGAACTTTGTGGCAAATTGCGATTAAGACAAAACTTCCTACACGCTACATACAATGTATACAGCCCCTAGCTATTTTGTTTTCTGAAGTAAGAGTGATCTTTTCTTAACGCGCATTTTCTTTGTTTTGGTGTCTAAAACAAGACATTGTCGTCCCCCCCCCCCCTCAACAACGCTGTTGTCTAGTGTTGATTAACAGGTAGCTTTAAGCCCATGTCTGCTTGTCTGTCGGCTGCCATCCTACACATCCTTACCGAATTAAACTTGATCTTCTAAAAACAAACACTAACGCTCGAGATTTTACTACAGTGTAGAACCGTTTATTTTGTTTTCAGTTTTAAAAATACATCTAAGTATTTAATGAAATAAATATCACCGATTACCAATATGTATTTAGGTTTTTCAATCTCTTTGTTTTCCGCATGTTTTCCATAAGTATCTTCAGCATTTTTCTGCCTTAGAGCATTTTCACATCTCGCAGTATTTTGTTAAGTATGAACAATTATTTAATCAATTTGTTAATTGAAATGGTATTGACTTATCAAACAGTGTTGATTTTTATTTTGATGTCAACCCTCTTCACTGGTATATTCTTAAACACATTCTTGGTATTAGGCGTTATAAATACAATTTTAAAAAAAAAGCACTGTTTATGTGTTCCTTCTATTCATCACACATCATCATTTTCCTGTTCCTTGCAGAACATAGTGCCTCTGTCAAGGCTATCCACTCCCCACGGTATCCTAACACTAATTTCAGCGGTTCCCAATTGCTTCCTATCCTTTCAGCCTCCTCCACCGATGTCTTCTTTGGTCGTCGCTAGCCCTAAGGGTTCCACTCCAAGGCCTGTCTGGCTCTATAGCCAGCATCCTTCTGAAGAGTCTGCCCAATCCATCGCCATTTCCTTTCCATGATATGACTTTCTATTGTTTCCTATCCACACATCTCACCTCACCTTCGAATAGTGACCAATATTATTATTTCGGAAAATGACAATAATATTCGAATTTTATTTCCATGTAGTTTAACCTGAGTACTATTGGCCAATGGACTTTACCGAGTTGACGAGAATCCTTCCATTAGTATTGTTGACATGGATAAAAAATGTATTTTTTTTTTTTACAATTTTCAATCAAAGCGACCGTAAAAATAATAAAATAATAAAAAATAACAACTTAAGCTTGAAAATAATTTAGAAATTTAATAGTTTTAGAATTAATTTTATAAAAGCTGCACAGCCAGAAAATACTAAAAAAACATCAAATAATTTCATCAAATCTTTAGTCAAGACCACCAAAATCCAACCAGTCAGATTTTTATAACAATATTTATTGTACTAACACCTTACATGATTTTGAAAATAGATTGCGTCTATTAAAACAGCCTGAGGTAACTGCTATACCCTATTGGCTTTTCTAGTCAAAGCTACACAACTAGTAGACACATTACTAGCATTGCTCAACTCAACGCATCGTATTTCGTGTAGTTGGTCACATTAACCTGAGTACTATTGACAGCCTCTGGTAACGGCTATACCCTATTGGCTTGTCGAGTTAACACTACTCAACTAGTAAACGCATAACTAACATAGCTCAACTTAACGCATCGTATTTCGTGTGGTGGGTCTCATTAACCTGAGTACTATTGACACAGACTCTGGTAACGGTTATACCCTATTGGCTTGTCGAGTTAACACTACTCAACTAGTAAACGCATAACTAACATAGCTCAACTTAACGCATCGTATTTCGTGTAGGTAACAGATGGCGCGCGACACATAGCTCACAGATATTCACGCATTGTGTTCGCTATTCCAGGGTTTGAGAGTATCAACAATCCAACGAATGGGATTTATTTTACTCGGGCAGTTGTAAATAAAGATGGGAGTAGCCGTGTAATCGTGAGGCGTCAGGGGGTAACTGAGTAACTGTAAACGAAGACAAATAAAATGAAAATTGGGTTAACTGAATAAAACATCGAACTATGGAAGCTATGAGAAGTGTGAGGACGTCTGTATTATTCGAATAGATTACAATTATAAAAAATAAAATAACATTAAAAAGAAATGTTATGTAAAATAACTAGATCTAACTTTACAAGAATGACTCCCTTTCGTTTTTACCTCAGCAAGTAATGTTAGCGATTGCTGGCAAATACAAATTGCTGTCTAAATATAAAGGACGAGCCGACCCGCGGCATATCATACGCCGCTATTTAGTTGTTGTTTTTTCTACTTTTCAGTAATTTATAATTTGTGAATTCGACAGTACCAACGCTGCCACTGAAAATATTTCTTTAAAACACTATAAGTAGCTCGTTAAGGACGATAACCCCCCCCCCCCCCTCTTTCCCCCCCCTCACCTCCGTTACAGTAAACTCCACTTAGTTCCCCCCTCCCTCCCACCTACGTTTAAAATCGTTTCAAACTAAATTATCTGCCCCTAATAGTCGTCACTAAACCCGCCTCTGCTTGTAAACATTTAGCGTGAACCACAGCTCACCAGACCATGTAGGGGTGGGGGTGGTAGGGAGCGAGCTTACAGCTTGTTTTCTAGCGTCTCCCAGAAGAGAATTATATATATAGATATGTAGGTACAAGTTTTATTGCATTTTGTTGTCTATATTTTGGTGACATCATGTCTTATATATACCATCATTGACGTGAATAACAGCCTTGTGTGACTATGAGCTATTAATTAATGCAAGGAGGTTAAAGAAATGTATTATTGTGATATACATTTTGGTTATGTGACATTTCTATAAATATCATCATTCACCTAAAAAGTAGCATTGGGTGCTATTTATACACAGAGGTTAAAAAAATAGTTCTATCTATATATTTTGTTTACGTTCTGCCTTTCACTTGTGGTACGTTTTATGTTCTTTCTTTGCCGGAATAACTCGGTGAGGAAAACGAACAAAATATCCTGTGCACGGTTTTTGATTGTGTGCGGTTATTGGCCTTGAACTAGACTTAAGATTAACACGCATGTTTGAACTCACATTAATGCACCGAGACCGATTTCCAATAACATATCGATGAAGAAAAACATAAAATAAATATTATAAGTTAAGATTCGCTTATTTACTGCGAGCATGCCAAAGTAAAGTAAAACATAAAGCTATGTGCTGAGCGGGGCGAAGGTTGAACAATACACGGTTCAACAGTGTGTGACACGGGCAGTGTTAAGCTGTTTGTGATGGATGTTTTCTTACAATAGTGGCTTACAATCTTCCTTCCTATACGTGACCAACAGTTTTATACTGTAAACACTAATGTAAAGATCGTAGTAATGGATTGTGTTAAGCTGTTTGTGATGGATGTTTTCTTACAATAGTGGCTTACAATCTTTATTCATATACGTGACCAACAGTTTTATACTGTAAACACTAATGTAAAGATCGTAGTAATGAATTGTGTTAAGCTATTTGTGATGGATGTTTTCTTACTGTAAACATAATAGTAAAGATGGTATCAATGCATTATAGCTGTATTAAAATAAATGTCATGAACGTACCGTAAACACTATTGTAAAGATCGTAAAAAATAATTATAACAGTGTTAATCTATAAACCTATGTGGGGAAAGGTTTCTAAATGTAAACATACATGTAATGACGGTAATGAATAGTTGACGCAGTGTTATTATTTGTTGAGAAATATGTTCTTACTATAAACATCAATGTCAGCATGGTAACAAAGAACTGTAGATGAGATAGAATAATGTGTGATGTGACCTAATGCAGAAAACGATTACAAGAATATTTACATTTATTTCATGCGTTGTGGTATAAAACGTTCACATCAACATATAAGAGAACTGTTAAAATCATTGGAAAAAAATCTGTAGTATTGGTTTCAATATTAGCTGGACAAAATGATGCCATCAAAATCTGAGAAGGGTTCCAGACTGCAAAGATCTATGACTATAGCCACTTGCATTCGGTAACAAAATAATTCTAATTTTATCGAGTTTTGTCTTTACATTATAAATTGCATTATTATAATTTATTATTTTTAACAAAGATTCGAAACTAGATCACATTCTTTATCATTCACGCTTGTAAACATTACTATAAGATAACAAAGTATATTGTAGATATCGCTCCACTCGGGTTTTTACAATCTACCACGCCTTGGCTTATTGGCATAGCGATACAAAACATTTGGCTTTGAATTAGTTTTATCAGTAACCGTCTGTTTATCATGCTTTGGTAATCAACCTAGCATCTAGTCCCATGCAAACTTTACTTACTCTATTCCTAGAACTAAAACTATGTAATATAGCCTACATCTCGCGGTCGTTATTGCTCACCCAAAATCTAATTATGGCTTATCCAATTATTTCCCTTAGTCTTGAAACGCCCCTTCCTTGATCGATGAATATCTTTCCTTCTGCTGATGTATTACCTTCGTTCAACGTCTATCTAAACAATACCTGACATATTTCGATCGATACTTTACACCATCCAGCTATCTCATGCCAAATCCCTAGCCACAAACCACCAGCATCTACCGCTCATATATCTATCCCGGCTCCACCACCATCCAGATGTCGTATCCTTATCACTGCTCCGCCAGCATCCACTACCATCCATATGTCATATCCTTATCCCTGCTCCACCAACATCCACCTCTCACACTCCTACTCCACCAGCATCCACCTCTCATCCCCCTATCCCTACTCCACCAGCATCCACCTCTCATACCCCTATCCCTTCTCCACCAGCATCCACCTCTCATATCCCTATCACTGCTCCACCAGCATCCACTCATACCCCTGCTCCACCAGCATCCACCTCTCATATCCCTATCACTGCTCCACCAGCATCCACTCATACCCCTGCTCCACCAGCATCCACCTCTCATATCCCTATCACTGCTCCACCAGCATCCACCTCTCATATCCCTATCACTGCTCCACCAGCATCCACTCATACCCCTGCTCCACCAGCATCCACCTCTCATATCCCTATCACTGCTCCACCAGCATCCACCACTCATACCCCTGCTCCACCAGCATCCACCTCTCATATCCCTATCACTGCTCCACCAGCATCCACCTCTCATACCCCTATCCCTGCTCCACCAGCATCCACTCATACCCCTGCTCCACCAGCATCCACCTCTCATATCCCTATCACTGCTCCACCAGCATCCACTCATACCCCTGCTCCACCAGCATCCACCTCTCATGTCCCTATCACTGCTCCACCAGCATCCACTCATACCCCTGCTCCACCAGCATCCACCTCTCATACCCCTATCCCTTCTCCACCAGCATCCACCTCTCATATCCCTATCACTGCTCCACCAGCATCCACTCATACCCCTGCTCCACCAGCATCCACCTCTCATACCCCTATCCCTTCTCCACCAGCATCCACTCATACCCCTGCTCCACCAGCATCCACCTCTCATATCCCTATCACTGCTCCACCAGCATCCACTCATACCCCTGCTCCACCAGCATCCACTCATACCCCTGCTCCACCAGCATCCACCTCTCATCCCCCTATCCCTACTCCACCAGCATCCACCTCTCATACCCCTATCCCTACTCCACCAGCATCCACCTCTCATACCCCTATCCCTTCTCCACCAGCATCCACCTCTCATATCCCTATCACTGCTCCACCAGCATCCACTCATACCCCTGCTCCACCAGCATCCACCACTCATCCCCCTATCCCTACTCCACCAGCATCCACCTCTCATACCTCTACCCATGCTCCACCAGCATCCACCTCTCATCCCCCTATCCCTACTCCACCAGCATCCACCTCTCATACCCCTATCCCTACTCCACCAGCATCCACCTCTCATACCCCTATCCCTTCTCCACCAGCATCCACCTCTCATATCCCTATCACTGCTCCACCAGCATCCACTCATACCCCTGCTCCACCAGCATCCACCTCTTATACCCATACCCCTGCTCCACCAGCATCCACCTCTTATACCCATACCCCTGCTCCACCAGCATCCACCACTCATACCTATACTTCTGCTCCACAGCGCCACCAAGTGTGAGCTGGCCAAGGTACTCAACAGACAGTCGTGCTTCCAGGAGATCCTCAAGCAGAAGGACGAGATCATAGAAGACCTGGACGAGAAGCTCGGCAACAAATCGGTCAACCATGACGGCTACGACAGTAAAAAAAGGTAAGAACCGCCACACTTGTGTAGGAGGCTGTAAATAGTAAGTTTTTTGTAACTTATGATATACATCTATACCCGAATACGGTAGTTAGTCTTAGGTCTGCTTTGTAACTGGTGTATAAAGATTAAAGAACACATCATATTTAAGCCTAAGTAGAATAGACGATATCTTAATGAGTTCTTGAAACTGTTGTTTTCGTGTTTGAAAACATAGGCAACCTGAAAATACTAAGAAGCTGAAACTTGGAATTTTCTTTTTTAAACAGTCGATCTTTTCACACGTAAACACATACACAAAGAGTATCAACCACACAGAGTTACACGAACAAAAACATACAGACGTAATCACACACGCACACACAAACATAATCCAATCCTCCACGTCGTTTTTTATTCTATTTTAAAATACAGTTTACATGTTTATGACTAGAAAATTATTATTTTATAATTTTGTGGTCGCACTGGTTATTATTTTAACGTAAATGTTGCGTTTAAGGACGTTTATAACATCAAAAAAATCGTGCTTTGATTCAGCAACAGCTGCGCATAAATAACCTAAAATTAAGTAGGCACGCGTTGCTCTAAAAATGTCTATATATGCATCATAAATTACAGTATTACGTGTTCCCAGTGTTAATATACCTTTCAATAATAAATGCCGGTTTCATACAAGTTCTGTAGGCCCTATATGATCCAGATAAATCCAACTTGTTGCAGAACTTTTTCGCTACATTTTGGACATGAACGTGAGAATGTTATTTAGGGATTTGCGTTGAGTAATTCTGTTGAGATAGAAATAGGCGAGAAGTGGGATTTGTAGATCTACTGTTATTGATGTAATGAAATATGGCTGCTCTGTCCTCATAACTATTTTTCACACAAAAGGCATATATATATATTATCTCTAATAAAAAAAAGTATTGATTTAAACTACACGTTTAATGAAAAGTATGGTATATTTTTTTTTTAGCTATGAATGAGTAACACCATATTGTGTGCAATAATTGCAAAATAACACAAGATACTGAGTTATAAAGGCAACCTTCTAAGCATTACGTGTCAACATGTTATGCGCCATATGGCTCGTCGACTGCTTTTCTTTCTGGATTCGCTTTCATAGCCTAGCCCATACAAGAGCAATCTGCAAAGCACATTATTTAATTATTTAGGAGTTTTCTCTTCAAGATGTATTGCTGTCCCCATCGAACGAGCCTTATCTGCTTATACCAGAGGCGTAGCGACCCTTCCCGGCGCCCGGGGACAAACATTCAATTTGGCGCCCCCATAAAACTTTCAATTTGCACCCCCCCTCAAACTCTCAATTGGTTTTTCCAACCCATTTTGGCGCCCCCTAAGGTCGGCGCCCGGGTACACATGTACTCTCACCCAGTGGCGTAGCGAGGTCGGGTGTCACCCGGTGCGGCACTTAATGGTGTCACCCCCCCCCCAGAGGCGTTGCGACCCTTCCCGGGGACAAACTTTCAAGTTTTTTATTTGCACCCCCCCCCCCTCAAACTTTCGATTTCCACCCCCCCCCTCAAGTTTTTCTCTATATATTTTGCTATTTTTTGCCTTGGTGTCACCCCCCTTAATGGTGTCACCCGGTGTGGTCCGCACCCCCCGCCCCCCCCCCCTCGCTACGCCCCTGCTCTCACCCCCACCCCCTCGCTACGCCTCTGGACAAAGTTACCGAGTAAACCAGTTTGGGCATTACGTTTGTCAGACGACCGTAAATGACCAACAGGCTCATATGGGTAGGCCTACCTGACCCCGTAAAGTAAAAACTGCCGGCATTGTTCTGGCCATACAACGTTCTCATCTTCGTACGCTGTACTTGACGGGACTTATAAAATGTAAGCTTACAGTATCATCATTTTTACAAAAATAGAACACTATTATAGAATGATATTGCATAATTCAACGTTGTGTATTGTGATTGTTTTAAAATACATCTCTATTTTGTCCTAATAGCAATTTCTGCTCAAATAATGTTGGAGGAATTTAGTTTACATCGGACTTAAAACGTCTTCTACAGAGTTTCTCTCAGGCATCTCTTCGAAGGGATTCATTGGCCTCAAAGAGCAAATCTACATCCCCTCCCCCTCAACACATGTACAAAGAACGAAGAAACAGAAAAAATATATAAATTATAAAAAAGTATAATTACTTTAACCAGTGTCTCCCCACTCCTCTCCCCGGAAGTGTCAAGTGCACCCATCAACCGCAGAAAAATGTCTGAAATAAACGCATGTCTTCTATCCCCCTAACGGACATTGTCCTACAGTAAATAAGGTTGACGCAAACCTCCACATAGCTCGCAAATGTGTGTTAATGTATTTATGCCTCTTTTGTCCCGCAAAATCAATACCATAAATAAAACAAAACATTGCATGTTAATGGATTGCAAGTCGCAATCATAAACAAAGGGAATAGGAAGCTGCAGTACAAAGTACATGATCATGCTATTGACATTGTTTTTATTTATAGGTTGTATTTTTTTTTTGTTGGCTGATTTCATAGAGATTTTTGGATAATATATTTTTTTATACGGTCACCGTCTGTTTATTTTATTTTTAGGTTGACGGCGGCAAACAAAGAACATTTGGAGAGGGTCAGGGTCCTACAGAACCAGAACAGGTTCCTGAATGAGGAAGTTCGACGTCTGGCTAAGCTCAGGTGTCAGGAGCACGAAAAGATCAAGGTTCAGGACAGGTGAGAATGTCATTCGTCATTTGACATGTGTCATGTAGACTAGTTGATTTAGTTTAGTGACTCATTCCATTCGTCATAATTTATTCCATTGCGTTTGTCATGTATTAATAATTAGACACGAGGATGTAGTTACTAGTTGGTGTCAAGGCTAAAACATGTCTGATACAGGTTTTTACATTGCAGGTTGTTGCATATTTTAATATTTTTACAGTTCTTTATTACCTGTATATTGTATATTGTATATTATTTAAAATATTTAGATTTAGAGACTTTGAGCATGGCACTGATGTCATAATCATAAATACATTTACACTATATGAATATTAATAAGCCGTTTAATTTTTTTATAGATTGTCCATTATATGATCTCAGACTATTTTACTTGTTTTTAATTACTAGATTCTATTTGTAAAATGCTGTTATTTTATTTTATAGCAAAGTGAAAAAGCTTGAAGCAGATATTGAGGTCTGGAAGTTGGAATACATTTCATTAATCCAGTCCAGTATTAGATTCACTGGCACTGACACAATGGATGATGCTGAGTTGTCTCTCTTTGGTGGTGACAGGGTAAGACAATCCACTTAATGACCTGAATTAAGTTTTAGTTTTTGATGCTGTTTTAGACTAACTTTTTTTCTGTTATATATAAAAAAAAATAGTTCATGTTTATCTTATATTTTTTTTAATCCAGGAAAAATAATTTTAATAAAGAGATGTTTTATTTATTTAGCACAAAAACAGGATAATATCACTTCTGGAGGAAGCAAGGAAAATTAACCCAAGCTTACCTACCTTTGAGCATCTGTCTTCTGGGGAGGTACATGTTGACACCTATGGTTTCAAACACCATTTTTCAGGTAAGTTTTGTTTTTTCATGTGGAAATTTTACTAATTCCATTACAAAATTAAAATTTTGAATTATTTCTGAATCACTCATCTACATGAATAGAGAAAAAACAAAATGGGTTATTGCCCTTGGTAAAAATATTTGTAATTACATATTGAAGTTTACATGCATTTTTTTTTACTATTCATTAAGAATGCATTACATCTTTATTTACTGTTAGTCTAACCATAATCTGATGTTAGTATAATTTGTATGTACAGTGGAAATTACTAACTGTATTGACATGATTATCGCAGCTTTTGTACATAAAGTACACAAACCCTTAATCTCAGCCATGACCTGTATTCCTAACTGTAACAGCAATACTGGCAAAAAAAAAAATAAAAATAAACATAACTGGATATTTTTTTCCTGTTAGAAGTAACATGAGCTGTAATACATCACTCAAACAGCATAAATATATAAAAACTTTACTTTATTTCATTATCTTTACTGTCAGAGAAAATTGTAAATTATAAAAAAATACCTTTACAAAAGTATAAAAATATGTTTCAGATGAAGGATTGCTGCTCCACTACTTGTGCCAGGAGTTGAGCCAGCACTTCCTGTGTCAAGCCAACTCCTACGAGAAACATCAGAGGAATTGGATCCAGTATCTCAAAATCAATTGCAAAAACTTAATGATCAATGTAGGTTAAAGTTAATCTTTTAATTAAATATAGATAATTTAATGTATAAAACAGTTAATCACACATATGCCATTGTTTTAAATACATTTTACTAACATAAAATCTGTTAACTTGCAATGTTTGCAGAATGAGGCTCCTGAATCATTTAGTTCCTAGCTTTACATGTCTCTATTTTCTAACACATTTATAACAACTACAGAACTTAAAGAAAATTTTAATTTTAATTAAAATTTTGAAATATTTAAAAGCAGAACGGATTCTGTATTGTGGTTAATATTTAAAGTATATTTTATTTAAATATGTAGAAGCTTTGATATTATTTAAAAAAAAACAATATTATTAACTGATTTAGTTACAAATGTAATTTTTTTATGATTTTGCATATTATTTTATTCTAATTATTTTAAAATTATTGAAAATAATTTGATCTATTCTTATAAAATTTATTAAATTTTGTATCAGAAAAAGACCTTGAAGGCGTTGACAAGAGATGGCATTCCTGACGTGCACAGGAAAATTGTGTGGCGGGCGTTTGTCATGTCACAGGTGGAGGATGTGGTGCTGGAGAAAGGTGCTCACTACTTCAGGAGCTTATGTAGCGCTGTACCTGACTCACCTGTAAGTCCAGATTTTTTAATATATAATACCAGATGCTCATGCTAGTTATCATTTACTGTTTTAATGACTGCAATTTTTTGTCCACTGCTTTTAACCTCAATCTCTGCTAGACTCACTTGTAAGTTTACCTGTCTTTAATTCCATTACTTTATATGTCAAGCTCACATAATTTTATACATGATATAATGGCAAAAAATGTAAAATAAATATTTCTTAAATGTTTCAGTTGGCCGCACGCTACAGGAAACAGATCAGCTTAGACCTGATGAGAACTATGCCAAGTAATGTCAAGTTTTCAACACAGGGATCAAAGGGGGTGAGTGGGAAATCTTGTTATTTTCACATACAACTTTAATCTACTTTTGACATCTTTAAATGGCAACATCTTTTCAACTTTCATTCTTCATTCTGCAGATTCTTTTTTTTTTACAGTGTGGAAATGGCACTTTTTTATTTCATGTGTTCATTTTCTAATAAAGATTGTTAAATTTCAAAAGAAATCACTAACTGTGATTATTAGAATGATGAAATGATAAAATATATTATATTAATTTAATTTTATGTGCACATGATATTACTTTGTAACGGTTAACTATCTTCTTCTTCATTCTTAATTTTTAACTATGAATAGCCTAAATTAGCAATGTTGTAATTAAACTTTTCATTTTTGTTTTTAGATTATGGATCTGCAAGATGTGTTACTTGCATTCTGTATCCACAATCCACAAGTCGGATACTGTCAGGGAATGAACTTCCTTGTGGCTATGGCTCTTCTCTTTATGGATCCTCAAGATGCTTTTTGGTAAATATAGTTGTGGTTGGTGTATTTGTGTAGTTAGAATTATCTATGAACATCTGCAAAACTGTGCCAGTTTACAACTGATATTGACAACTATTGCAACAAGTTTTCTAAAAAGTTTATGAGTGTTAACACTTGCATAGGCAGTATTTTGTAATGTCAACTTAAATCTAACCATAACACTAAAAGTGCTCATAATGCTGTATAATTACTAAAGGTAAACAACCCTTGTTAATTTAATGTTTATTGATGCCAGCATTATAGAAAAAACACTTTTTTTTTTAATTTTATAAGTGTTAACAGTGGCTTAGGAAGTATTTTGTAATGGGTAGGGTTTTACTTTAAAAAAAAATGTAATATCAATTTCATAGCCATCAAAGAAGTTTTTTTTTTATAATTTTAAAATTGAAATCATTGAAAGTGACATGACTGCACATAACTTATCTGTCATTGTGTGTTAATAATTTGTTACTACACTGATAATGTTAAAGGGAAGTGTTTTTTTTTTCTACACCAGGACTCTGGTAGCTGTCACAGAGAGGTACCACTCCCCTTCCTACTTTGACCACAACTTGCTCGGGGCCCAGGCTGACCAGATGGTGTTGCGTGATCTCATGTCGGAGAAAATGCCAGAGCTGGCCAAACACCTGGACGCCATTGATATTGAGATCTCCACTGTCACACTCAACTGGTTCCTAGCCTTGTTTTTTGATGCTGTACCATTTCAGGTATGAAAACGCTTCTATTAGTGCTACTAGTAGTGATTTTTCCAATTGTATGGATTACGTCCCTTTAATTTAGAAACCATTCTGATAACTACATTTTATTATCATTAAATGAAATTTCATTTTAAGTTTTAAAAATATAATGGTTCCCAAATTTTGTGTGTGTGTTAAAGCAGCTTCAAATTTTGTTTTATTGTGAAAATATCCTTGTAGTATTCTTTACAATTAAGTATTTGTAGAAAATAATAAAACAAATTGTAAACTTTAGCGTGTTCCAGATTCTTAAAAATATATTGTTTACATATAGAAAAAAAAATTAATAACTGTCACTGTATTTCAGACTTTACTCCGCATATGGGACTGTTTCTTGCTGGAAGGGCCTAAAGTTTTGTTCCGATTCTCTCTTGCAATCCTGCACATCCACAGCAAGGAGATCATCCTTAAGTGTGATACAATCAGTGTCATGAGGCACCTCAAGGCTTGTGCCAGGATCACATATGATGTTGATGGATTAGTTAGAGTAAGTTTCAAATCTCTGACTCTATTCTATTCAAAACTCTGACTCTATTCTATTCAAATCTAGTTTATTTTCAGTGTTTTATTTTTTTTCTATCAGCTGAAAGTCAGAATTTAAAAACTTGGTTAAATTTCTTTTGCCATTTTTAAAGTTCAAATTGAAGGTCAAGTTTAAATCTTGCTATATTTAACAGAACGTTAAAAGAAATAGAAACTAAACATTGCAGCTTCTTATAGAGATTGCTTACAGACAAATAATCTTCAGTCTATACCAAAGATTCAATTAGGAAACATTGAATTTAAAATTAAAGGGAAACAACTCAACCATTAAATACTTATTTATTGATCCATATCAAAATATTATAAAATGTATTTGATTTGATTTTATTAAGTGCTTTTTCATTATGTTTCCTAGGCTGCCTTTAAAACACTGAAACCATTTCCAAGACGTCAGGATATTGTGAGCAAGCAGACGTGTTACCTGAACGCCCTAAAGGAGAAGTACAGGTGGCGGGACATGCAGAGAGCTGCATTTGCTGAGAGGGAGAATGTAGTGAGTTCTGTTACAGGATCAAATCCTTGTCGGCATCTAGAGGCCGTACCTCAAAACAGAGATACCTTCAACTGGATTATTTATAGATATTAATAAAAATATTTGAAGACTATTTGTTTTTAGACATTTTTTTTTACCAGAAACTGATATTTGCTATTTCAATAGAGAAATGTCATCCCATTATCTCATTTGATGAAATCCTTTCATTTAGGAAATAATTACAATATTTTTAAACTCAACAATGCAGTAAACATCTTTATATCTAAAGGTTTTTAAACTATCATATAATAAGATTATTGGTTTCATTATATTTATATATGTGTAAACTCGAACATACATATTATGGTACATTTATTTTAAATTTAGCTAATTTGATAATGATTTTAATGCTCTGATTTCAGTTCTTGAGAATGGAGTGTGATGCAGAGAAGTATACAGGTTTTGAGTGTTGCACAGTCACAAAACCAGGTAAAAGAAATGTTGTTTAAATATCAATTAAGTTGATTTAAATTAATCCCAGTTATCGTTGACATTTTGAGAATATTCAGAGTTTTGTTGTATATGTAAATGGCTACAAAACAATTATTTTAAAATTTAAAATGTTTTTTTCATAATTTATAAAAGCTCAAACATTTAGTAAAAACCATTTTTGTTTTTTAAAACCTTAAGTTCTCATGGAATGATTAGTGAGGAGAGTATTAATTTTGATTAATCCCACATAACACCTCAGTTGTAATGGGACGGAGTGGTCTAGCGGTAGAGAGCTGGACTGCTAACCCGTTAGTCTCGATATCGAATCCGGGTTCAAGTCAGTAGACCGTCCCTGAGTCCACCCAGCTCTGATGGGTACCTAACTCACGTTAGGGAAAGTAAAGGTGGCTGGGCATAGTGCTGACCACACTATCTCTTCATATGCCGAGGTCACAGAAACAAGTGAAATCTACTTCACTTGCCCCATAGACCGTCAGGTTTGAAAGGGAAACTTTACTTTACTTTACTTACCTCAGTTGTTGGTTACCAAAGTTTTTTTGTTTGTCAGGTGAGGCCTGGGTTGCTTATGGTGAGCCACCCATTTCAAAGATCTGTATTGTGGACTGTAAGGAGCAGACCATGATAGACACTAACATAACTGTAAGTCCTTGGGCTGTTTCATTTTGCTCATATTTTTTTATTTTTATATTGGAGTAATAAAGCTTGTCTAGTTTTTAGATACATTTGTTAAGGTAGTATTTTTAAAGAAATTTTTCACTCAGAATTCATTTGCAGATTTTAAAGTATTTAAAGCCAAATTTTGTAAAACTGAAAAATATAATTGATTGCACATTTGTATCCAATGCTTATTAAATCTACCACATAAAAAAGACCAAATGTATTCTGAGCTGCAGTTTTAATATTAGTGTGTAACTTTTACTCAACTTAGACTCAGTCTTTTGAATATTTGATTCCCATTCAATTGATGTGCTTGCACTTTGACAATAGTTAATTTAATTTATTGTAAAATACACAAAATGACCATTTGATTGTAAAAAAAAAATTAAATTTTAGATGAGAATCAGGAAGTACTTATGCACATTTATTTAAATTGTGCATGCTACAGTTTAAACTCTGAAACTGGCAAAAGTTTTAGGAAATGTGTAACTTTACTTTATAATAATGTGTGTTTTTTCTGATATCGCCAGTTTGAGACGCGTGTCATGTCTATGGTGTATGTGAACCATGACATGGTCTTAATTGGGACTCTGTCTTGGTTTGTGTATGCTTACAGTGAGATCACCAAGTAAGTCTAGTACTGTACGACTAAGTTAAATGCTTAATGCAATATACTGACATGTCCCACTTATTAGAGAAATGAATTCGTCATTTTTGTCAACACTAAATATTAGTGTAGTGTGTCTGTGTGGGGGGGGGGGGGGGGAAGGGGGGGGGGGTTCAGCTAATCCAGGATAAAAATGTGCCTTAATATCAGTCAGATGTTTATAAATTTTGACAAAACAAAAGAAACATCAGTTGACAGCCTTAGATTTGGTCTTAGATTTCAGTCTTGACCCATTTTCATCATTATTCACTTTGAATTTTAGAGAGTTATTGCATGGGCTAATATTTTTATAACATGAAAGACATTCGGCCTTACAGGTGAAAATTAGTTATATCAATATTCAGTATATTGATTCATTCTGACAATTGTAATATTTACTTATTGTTTTAATTCAAAGAGAGATGATGTGGCAGCAAAGGGTCCATGATGCTGTGCTCTCTATGCAGGCTTATCAGGATGATGAGGGGGATAACTCTTATCGACTTTTTGCTGGACTGGCAGATGGCACTGTTGCTGTTTTTGAGGTATAAAATACAACACAATTTCAGTTACAAATGATCTTCTTTTTAAAAAAATATATTCAATGAATATTTTAAATGGCTATTTGGATAGTTTTTTTTATTGATAGTTTATTTTAAGAATTTAATTTTTAATGATTATTTGGTAACTTGATTTCAGCAAGCCATTAGTCCATCCTGCACAAGCTATGATTTATTCTACCTTCCCATTGGCCAGTCCCCAGTCACATGTCTGCAGGTGATTGGCAACCTGCTGTGGTGTGCTTGTGGCAACAATGTCTCTGTCATTCATGCAAGGTTTGATATTTTGTTTGATTTAGATGGTTTATTGGGTAATCTTTTTACATTTTCAATGCATTATGTATTTTTTCTCCTTCCATAAGTTGTTACTTAATTAGCTAATCTACTTAAATGTAAGCAGTAATGATGACATGACAATTCTTTTACCAGTGCTTCTTTTATAATAAAACTACATCTTATTTTTGGATTCATTTTTTGAAAAAAAAAATGTAATCATAGTTAGATATTTAACTTAATTTCTCACAATTCTTATCTAAATATTTATTTGAATCACTTTTTAATCAATTTTTAGTTTTTTATTACAATTTCATTTTTTATATTTTATTTGTTTGAATCAAGTTTGAATTTCTTCTATTCTAAAACTAGTTATTTGAACCATTATTTGAAGCAGTAATTTGTTTGATCCAAGTTTAAATTTCTTCTATTCTAAAACTAGTTATTTGAACCATTATTTAACAGTAACTTGTTTGATCCAAGTTTGAATTCCTCTTGCCTTACTTCACCAGCACACTAGACCCAAAGGACAGGTTCACAGTGTCCGCCAACCCTTACGACACCATCTTGTCTCTGGTGCCAGGACTCCCTGGGGTGTGGATCTCTGTCAGAGGGTCATCAGTCCTGGAGCTCTGGGACCAGGAGAGCTTGACCTGCAGGATGCTCTATGACACACGCACCGGGCAGTTCCCTAATCTCAGAAAGGTAAATGCTGATTCATTAAACAGACAAAAATATTTAACACATTTTGGTTTATTCTAATCGCATAAGCTTAATTCTAAAGATTTTAGCCTTTGGGCATTCAACTTTTTTAACCAACTTTATAATTAGAACGTGGTATCTTTTTATTTGACTAAACATTCGACAAAATTTCTAAGACTATAACATTATATTGGTGTCATTAACCGAATTTGTGTCGATGTTATCTTTTAGTGAATTTGTCAAACATGATCAATATATTTTTGATATTTGAGCTTTGATAAATAATAAATGTCACCATGCAACAAAATTCTATTATGACTAAACACATTTACATTTACTAAGAAACCAAAACAAATAGGTATTAATTGTTTTAGTTAAAAAATGACTTTTTTTCTTGTTATAGGAAGATGATACTTATTTTAATGCAGCAAGAATTACTTCCATACTTTCATTGGACTACAGTGTTTGGATAGGGACAGGGGAGGGCATACTCATCACTTTTGATGTGTTCCCCAACAGCCAGAAAACACCATCAGAGTCGTCTCCCTTCATAACTGATGCCCTGTTAAATGATGATGTGGAGATGCATTCGTGGCGGTCGTCTCCCCACAAGAGTGATACAGACAGCTTGTCACGTCTGATTGAAGTGAAGAAAAGAGTGAAGGAGCTGTACTGTGAGAGGATAGTGTCTGAAAAACTACCTCAGCAGGTTGAAGATAACTCTAGTTTAAATGAGAGTAGCAGCCCTTGTTTTGAACAAGAAAAAAGTATTGAAAAGAAAAAGAGTGAAACTAATAAAGGTTCTTTAGAGAAATGTGAACACTCTGAGAATTTAGAGTCGAGGGAAGAAAGGAGTATTTTAGTGGATGATGGGAAGGAAGAAGTATTGAGTAAGATAGATCTTATGAAGACTTTATCGACTGAGTCTGCGAAGACAGATCTGTCGTTAGCAACAACAACTTCAGGCATTAGTTCTAACTTGAGCCACCAGACTGACGCCAGTGAGGCCGCTTCCATGCAGGACTCAGGGTTTGTCCAGTTGAGTGGTCAAGTTTCAGGGTCGTCCAGTCATGGAGAAATTATGACGGAAGTTCATGTGGGTATTCCTGAGGAAAGTGACGATATTATGTCTGCTGGTTTGGTAGACAACCACAGGACTCACACTGATTCTTCGGCTTCACTTCCACAAATAAAATGTGTTCATGATGGTGTTGTTAGGGTGACAAGAAAATCTGAAGACAGTGGTGTCTCATCCTTGTGTGAGAAAAACATAGAAGACTCTAATTTAAAGACAGATAACTCTTGTGATAAAAATGTGTCTGAGTCTGTTGTTAACAAAGCAGTTATTGATCCATGTACAGACTTAATTTATCTCATGAATTTAAAAAACATGCAGCCTGTCACAGACAGTACCTTAAAAGAAGGATTTATTACATCTACTTCAAGACTGCAGGAAAATGTATGTGAAATTGATAAATCTGGCATAAAACTGAGTGATGCCATGCTGGAACTTAAAGAACGTAATGGTAACGTTCCATCTCTTAATTTAAACGGACGAAGCGTGTCTGAGGAATCCACCAAGACAAATGAATCCGATGATGTTTTCATTGAGAAAATGGCGCCTCTTGTTTATCCCAGTGAAAGTTTAAACATGTTTCATAACAACAATGTCCATTGCCTACCTGTTGGAGATTTGAAAAGTCTACCTGAGGGTAACCTTTCACTTGTGTCATCTGATGTCGACAGCTCCGAGTCCACTTCCAACAAAACCTTGACTCAGGGCAGTCAGTCTAATCTAGAAGACAGCCTCTCTAACGGTTTCCATGACGACACACACAACACGCCATACTTTAACACTAGTCGTGGTAAAACTGATGCCTTAAGTTTAAAGTCACATCATACAAATGTTAAAGCTTTGGCTCAGAAATTTGAAACAGAAGGAAAGATCACAGATACTGGAATTCTGAGGCGAACACAAAGCCTTAAAAAGAATTTTAAGGTTGATCCTAAGCTGTCTGTTGTTAAGCCGTTTAAGGGTTTAAATGAAGAAATTACTATGAATGGTGATGAGTGGCTGAAAAAGGAGGCTTTGATTGATCAAGAGGTTGAGATCGATTCTTCAGCAAATTCACAAACCTTAGATGAATTTTCTTCACTTCGTGGTGTGACAGTTGATGGCGTTTCCAGCGCAGGTGGTGATGATGTTTCATTACCATCCGGTGGTGCCCAGAGCTCCACACCCCTAACCAATTCAAACACAACAAATTCAATGCAGGCAGGTCATACTCCCATAAACTCCTCAAAAATAGTGCAGCAAGCTAAACCTACAGAAGCTCCAACTCAACCTGGTTCTGACCAACAGAGGCTTCAAGTAAAAAACATTGACACCAAGTTCTACGGAGATTCAGATGAAGATACAAGTGTCCACGAGGCTCGTGTCCAGTCTTTTAAAGACAGCTACAAGCGCTCAGCTGCTGGGTCAAAGTTCAAGTTACTGAACGATGTTATTCCGGAACATCCTAACAGTTCAATTAAAAAGTCAGGCAGTTCTTCTTCTCTGTCTAAAGCTTTGGTAACAACTAATGTTGTCAAGGACTTTTCTGGGGCAAAAAATAGTATAACTACTATAGACAACAGTGCCAGGTTGTTGTTGGAGAGTAAACAAAACCTGGCGACAAAAATACCACTGTCAGTGATTGGTCGTCAAAATTCAGACGCAAGCTTGATATTAGGAAATATGCAGTCTAAAGACCCAGACGCGCAGTGGCGATTGGATTACACCAACATACACGTGGACACTGACTTGGAGAGTCTTGGGATGTCGTCTGCGTCGTGTAATGGTCAGGGTGGGGACGGGGACTCCCAGCCCCCGAGCAGACGGCTAAGTTGTGTGAGTACTGGGTCAGACATGAAGGACCAGAGGCTGAACCAGTTTCTCAGAGACACAGCCAGCAGCTACAGTTCCCAGTTTGGGCCGTCCTCAGAGGAAGATAAGGTTGGTTGTCCATTAGCTTGTCATCATAGGAGACCCTCATCTGTAATCTTGATGATAGTTTAAATCTCTTAACATATATATATATATATATATATATATATATATATATATATATATATATATATATATATATATATGTATATAAATATATATGTATATACCTATAACTGTAAAAATAAAATATATATTATCTGTTATATAGAGAAAGATATGTATATATATATATATAATATATATATATGTATATGTATATGTATATATATATATATATATATATATATATATATATATATATATATATAATGTAATTTCTATTACATGTACATTTTGATTTAATTCTTAATTGCTTGTCTTTTGTAGCATTATAAAGTAGGCCTGATAAAAGATAGATAATGTTGTCTTAATTTGCTGAATTGTTTAACCAAGAAGTTCAAAACTTTTAAAGTTTTAAATTCCTATTTTAAAACAATTATACTATAAATAGAAATACGCAAATCCAGTTCCCTTTCTTTAATATTTGATATAGCCTTATATTTGTTTTAGGTAGTGTATGTGATATTTCTTTAACACAATTATTTTAGCTTTGTGAAATTTTAGACAATTTTTAATTAATTTTGTTTTTTAATTCAGAAGTCTAAAATTTGTAAACATTATTAATTTTATGATTTTGTTTGTACACAGACCAACAATCGAGCTTGATTTAAATGGTTTTTATGTTGTCTATTTATCAATGTTTCATGATGTAACAATTCAGTCTAGCCATGTTAAGCTAATGTAAACAACTCTCCACACAGCAGATGACAGCTTTCCTGGCCACCCCCAACATGAGTGGTTGTAACTCTGCCACCTGGTCCTCCTACGATGAAATCTCAACCCCTCCCCACACGGACAGCGACAGTGTCAGGTGTCCCTTTCCTCGCTACAGTGCATACGAGTAAGTAATACAACATTTCATTTGTTTATTAACTAATGTTAAGATGTGGTAATACAACATTTCATTAGTTTATCAACTAATGTTAGGATGTGGTAATACAACATTTCATTAGTTTATTAACTAATGTTAAGATGTGGTAATACAACATTTCATTAGTTTATTAACTAATGTTAAGATGTAATAATACAACATTTCATTAGTGTAACAGTATGAATTCTTTGTTGTTGTGGGTTAGTTTTCACACAGGAATACAAGCAATAGTGGCAACTTCAAATGATGACTTTATTTACACTATATACAGTGAGAATGATAAATCCATAGTTATTCATGGTAAATCCATATTAGAAGATACTCAACAAGTACAGTCACAGTCACGACTCCAAGTCATGGAGACATCTTACATTCACTGCCACAGTTCAAGTCCCCAAGTCCTAGCACACAACACCCGTTCACCTTTTGCTCTCCCTTTTATACGGTCCATTCTCTCCCCTTACGTACATGAGCGATCTCACCCAAAAACATGAAAAAACACATGACGATCGCTCAGACAGTCCTTCCGCTAGCCAGGTACTCTTCATTCATGCAAAACACAATATAATAAAGATACATAATAATACAGTCTGTGACAATTAGTTTATCAACTAATGTTAAGATGTGGTAATACAACATTTCATTAGTTTATCAACTAATGTTAAGATGTGGTAATACAACATTTCATTAGTTTATCAACTAATGTTAAGATGTGGTAATACAACATTTCATTAGTTTATTAACTAATGTTAAGATGTGGTAATACAACATTTCATTAGTTTATTAACTAATGTTAAGATGTAATAATACAACATTTCATTAGTTTATCAACTAATGTTAAGATGTGGTAATACAACATTTCATTAGTTTATCAACTAATGTTAAGATGTGGTAATACAACATTTCATTAGTTTATCAACTAATGTTAAGATGTGGTAATACAACATTTCATTAGTTTATCAACTAATGTTAAGATGTGGTAATACAACATTTCATTAGTTTATTAACTAATGTTAAAATGTGGTAATACAACATTTCATTAGTTTATTAACTAATGTTAAGATGTAATAATACAACATTTCATTAGTTTATCAACTAATGTTAAGATGTGGTAATACAACATTTCATTAGTTTATCAACTAATGTTAAGATGTGGTAATACAACATTTCATTAGTTTATCAACTAATGTTAAGATGTGGTAATACAACATTTCATTAGTTTATCAACTAATGTTAAGATGTGGTAATACAACATTTCATTAGTTTATCAACTAATGTTAAGATGTGGTAATACAACATTTCATTAGTTTATCAACTAATGTTAAGATGTGGTAATACAACATTTCATTAGTTTATCAACTAATGTTAAGATGTGGTAATACAACATTTCATTAGTTTATCAACTAATGTTAAGATGTGGTAATACAACATTTCATTAGTTTATTAACTAATGTTAAGATGTGGTAATACAACATTTCATTAGTTTATTAACTAATGTTAAGATGTAATAATACAACATTTCATTAGTTTATCAACTAATGTTAAGATGTGGTAATACAACATTTCATTGGTTTATCAACTAATGTTAAGATGTGGTAATACAACATTTCATTAGTTTATCAACTAATGTTAAGATGTGGTAATACAACATTTCATTAGTTTATCAACTAATGTTAAGATGTGGTAATACAACATTTCATTAGTTTATCAACTAATGTTAAGATGTGGCAATACAACATTTCATTAGTTTATCAACTAATGTTAAGATGTGGTAATACAACATTTCATTAGTTTATTAACTAATGTTAAGATGTGGTAATACAACATTTCATTAGTTTATTAACTAATGTTAAGATGTGAACAAAATAATTCTTAAAAACAAAATCTAATTATTAGTTACACCAGGGGTCGGCAACCTGCGGCTCGCGAGCCGCATGCGGCTCTTTTGATGTCAAGATGCGGCTCTCCGGCTCCTTGCACAAATACTAATGATCTTTATAAAATAAAATAGAATTCGTGAAAAAAAAATGTTAGTGGCTCTTCAAAACCAGCGAAATTTTAAAAATTGTAATTTTTGGCTTTTCCGCCTGGAAAGGTTGCCGTCCCTGAGTTACACCATCGCTGATAAACTTCTTATCACTTTCTTATAATTTAATTTGAATACATGATATTTGTTTTTACACAACTTTCTGTGTTTTTAAAGGCAGTGGTTTACATTTATTTATTTTTATTTTTGTGTAAATAATATTTGATGTTACTTTTTTGCTTCATTGCAGTTGTAGGCTAAAGGTTAATATTATATTTTATTTATTATTTGGAAATATTTCAAATACAATGCCATAATTTAAAAATATTTTATACCATTATAACTTAAGAATCAAAGATTGCTAAAAAAAAATTAAAATGTTTTTACTTTAGCATTGAAAGTCGAGCCACCAGCATCACCAGTGCCATGGACCTCTGTGGTGGAACAGAGCTTTCCCTCATGAGCAAGAACAAAATCTCTGACAAACCAGTCAAGTGGCTGGTCTCAACTATGTAAGTTTCTTCATTGGTTTCACTATTTGGAGAGTTAAGTCACCTGTTCAGTGGGTGATATGACAAAATGATCTCAGACAAAATAACCTAGACAGAATATCTCAGGACAAAAGATTTCACGAATAATAGATCTCAGGACAAAATATATCAGGACTTATGATACCATGGACAAATGATCTCAGAGAAAATATTTTAAAATTTTTCACAGGATATTTTGTATGAGATCATTTGTCCTGAGATAATTTGCCATGGAACTGTTCAGTCTGGGTACTAGGTTCACCAAGAGCAGTACATTTATTATTAGCACTGTGTAGCCCTTGGTCCTGTAGGTTCACCATTAAAATAAAACCTGTGAAAAGATAAGGCTTGATACTGGGGGACAGCCAGCCACCCATCTAGGAGAGAAAACTCCAAAATCAAATAGCTGCTGCCTTATAGTTTGTTATTGGTTGGACAAAGGGTATGGAGGAAAATCCAAAAGAAAAGCAGAATGAAATAGGAGTTAGTGACCTAAGTGACACATAACTGGTTGTCACATAGACCTTATTGTGCTGAAGGAAAGCCTATCCAACATTACAATTAATAACAGAGAAGAAGAAAAACAGTTCAATACATTAACTTTATTTGTCATCAAATTAATTAACATCATTAACACGAAAATGCAAGTTTGTTTATTTAAATATTCTCTACCCCACTCCTCAGGAGCCAAGGGTGTCCTGTGGTCCTCAGTTTTTCTGGATCCCATTCAGATGATGAGGCTGTTCTGATTTGGTCAAGGGAAGTAAATGAGGTAATTTATAAAGGGAAGTAATAAGTGACCTGGCACTAAAAGAAATGAAGGAATTTTACAATTATTTATTAATAGCTGTTAGCAAAAACTATTTCCAAATACTTAAACTGTTTGCACTACAAATTTAACTTTTTAGTATGGGGATACTGTTTTTTTAATATAAATGTTTAATTTTTTAATAGTAGTTTAAAATTATGACATAAAGCATTTATCAATGAACCAAATCTTTAGTCTGACCAAACATTTTGGTTTCAATAAACATTAGAAAGTTATTATTTTTTCAAAACTATTAAACATAATCCATTTATTCTGACCAGACCCTGTGGACCAACGCCCCAGTTCTAGAATACAACCCCGCCACCCGCACGGCCACACTGCCCAGGTACATGAGAACACAGCAGCTGTCTAATGCTTCCTCTGCCCTCAGCACACCACGACAGAGAAATAAAAGCCAAAACAGTAACTGAATATTTGTTGTTAGGTGCTGACACAAACCTTTAAAAAAACTACATTTACCACTGGGGTCAATGAAAGAATCTCAAGTCTTCATTCAACTGAATTTTTTTTTTTTAGTTTAAACATTTTTTTAATTACAATTTAAATTAAAAAATTAATTTTTTATCATTAAAAGCACACTAAAATAGTAAATTAAAAATGTGGACAATGCAAAATGTCATCTGATGTATCTACACTAATACTAAGTTTTATTGTGTTTAGCTAGTAATGTATTGAGGAGGGTAGGATAAATGGGATTATGTTTTGTCTGCATGAATGTTTTGGTTCTAAGAGTAACAGATCACTGCATAATTTAATGGCATTTCTCATTGAAGGTAGAAGAGTCTGTAATCACTGTTGATAGGTTCTTCCATATTTTCATTTTTTTTAAATTTAATTAAATGCTTTATGAACACCACTTTTAATAATAAAAAAACCAAGCAATGAAGAATTATACTTTTCTTTTCAAAATTAAATTCTTTGTTTTTCATAGTATATTATGTAGCAATTTTAAATCATTTTTTACACAGATAAAAAAACTTGTAGGTTCTAATATGCTTATACAAATGAAATCTGAATTGTCGAATTGTCTAAACAAGGTAATTCAACCAATTCAATTGTTTTTTAAGATAGGCTATTTTACTTGTATTATAAAGTAAAAAAAGGCTCAGTTAGTGATATAATTACTATATTGGTTATTCAATTAACTTTTCAGATAGGACTTTTATCTTGATTAGACCAATTTGTTTTTGTATAATGTAACCAGATGTAAACCCTTTAAAAATGAGATAATCATTTCTCTGATATTAGTGTAAATGAATTAACATTCTGTTAGATGATTTAACGACATAAACAAACCACCCTTTACATGTCACTACATATTATATAAGACTGTCCCAAAAAATTGTTCAGAAATTTAGATTTTGTAAAACTTACAATGGGATAACAAATGTGGCAGTGGAAATAAGTTTTGAGATAAATTACTTAACCTGTTATTTCTATTCAATAGACAATCATTATTTTATACACATATTTTCATGTATGTTTTGTAAATAGAATATCAAGCATTTTCTACATAAACTGCATTTAGCAGTGTTATGCAAATTGTGATGTCTAATTCATTTAACTTGTATAGCTGATGAAAGTTGGTGCAGTATCATTCAGGTTTGTTTATTAACATGAGCTGTATAATAAAACTAGCTGTTACTCTGTGGGATATCTGTAATTGGGAGTAGATTAGTCTCATTATTTCTGAAGCCCTCTTTACTTTAGCTGTCTATTTGTGATACATTTTTCTAAAATGTTATTATATCGTATGTTTGTTTTAAAAATGTATACACTCTCCATTTAATAAAATGATTTGCTTTATTGTTTATTTCTCATTATGAATTCAAATGTTTTAGATCCATGGTTACCTCACTCTAAAACAGAATGAATTTTATGTGTATACTCTATTTTCCTATTTAAAAAATCATGATTTTTATTTTATAATTGTAAAAACTATGTTCATGTTAGATTTTTATATTTTGATACCACAAGTGCCTATAAATTGTGGCTAGTGATTTGATGTTAACTCTGTAGATGAACACCAGTAGAATTTTTTTTTTTATTATTCTTGGGATTGTCAAATATTTGGGTTGAGTAATGTGTAATATTACATCAAAATGTTTATTTACACTTAGTTAAATAAAATTTTAAATCTAGACGTGCTACTCTATTGTAATTGTGTACAGTTCCTTTGGAACAAATGACATTCACTGAATATTGAATGTTTTATTTTTGGGCAGTAGTTAATTCATTAATTTTATTTACGATCTTTCTTTAAGTGGAAAAGAACATGCAATTGTGATACATAGAATACGTGGGAAGTGGGTTTACTTTGCGAGAACTAGTGAAAGTATCAGCTTTTTGAATGAATGATATTTATCTTTACCTGTATTATCACAGCATGTTCATAACCTATTTATACATGATGTTGTTTTATTGTATAAAAAGGGGCATATACTTATGTCAGTCATGAATTCATTTCTTTCAAAAACTGGTGATTTAAACACATTTAATTGTTCAATGCATTGACCTCATAGGTTACTTACTCTATACAAACCTGTGCTGTTAATGGCAGTAAACTTTGTACTGATGTACTGGACTTTATCCATTGGTCTTTCCTTCAACTCTGTGCTGTGCAATACAATTATTATAAAAGTCATACCACAGTTTGGAAAACATGTTTTTAATAATATTTTAATAATAAAAACTGCTCAAAGATAATTGTTAGCTTATTAATAAAATTGGTTTTGAAATAGTAACAGTGAAAATTATATTAAATTATGTAAGAATTAAAGGTAAAAAGATTTTAAAAAATTAATTAAAATACTTTCTTATTTTTACTCCTTTCTAAAAAATGTTAGTTTAGCTTTTGACACAAATTTTCTTTAATATATTGGGTAAAGAGGGACATAAATTTTACAAAATACTTGCTTTTCCTTACTCGTCTCTACAATCTGTTAGTATAGCTTATGGCACACATTTATCTTCCATTTTTGAATAAATTAGGGAATAATTGAAAATAACTAGACAGAAATGTCTCAACATTTCTTAGTCTACTTTTGTCTTATGGTACTACAAGCAGCAATTGAAATTGGCTTGCTTGATATTTACCATTTAAAGTTTTTAAAGAATTTGTTTAAACTTTGATTGGGTTTACTAATAGTAATTTTTAAAAATTCCAAATTAAATTAATAACAAATGTGTACTTATTACATATTAGTCTTTCATTAAATTTGGAGGCGATTCAAATTTTAACAAGACTACTTAAGGGCTGCTAAAATTAATCTAACATCGATAGTTCCAAAGTAGCGGCACACCTGATACAATACTTTCTGGTTTACAATTATTTACACAAAAATTATTGACAAAAACATTTTCTTTAAATAATTTTGATTAAACTTACTTTGATAGAAAAGTTTAATCAACAGCTTGATGATCAAATTCTATATTAATCCTCACAAGTTACAGGCAATTGTATACACAAACCTACTAAAGCACAAGCACTTTAAAGGCCCAAATGCAAGAAGGATCTCTTTTTAAAGACTATCATTCTGGAAAAACTAGAATGGATATAATGTTTTAGATGTATTCTAAAATATTTGACACATTCTTGAAGCACTATCAATGGGTTGGATAATACAAAAACTTTAAGAATTCAATTTTGAAGAAAGAAAAAAATGTGATATTGAAATGATCATTTTATTTTTTTATTCATTTATACTTGAAATTCATCTTCTCAGCTTTGTGATATTAACATGTGTACAAATATTTGTATATTCTCATTTTTGTCTTCCAAATAATTTGTTTGTAATATATTTTACAAGAAATTGTAAATACATTTAAGAGAACCACTTTTGATAGGTTAGAGACTATATAAGATTTCACAATATATTATTATTGTGCAAATAAAAACAAGCTGATACAAGTGTAAAAATACACAGACTTTATTGAAACTCTGATTCATTCTTATTACTTTGATTTAATAAATTCATATATTCTAAGTTTTAAAACAGTTTAATAACCTAACAGTTAAACTTCAGTTAAATGTATTGAGGGGAACAAGTTGCATGCGATAGATTAAAATTTACTGCAACACAAAAAGCAGTATCTATGTTTTCTGTAAGTCACTGAAATTTTGTTTTCATTTTTTTAAGGATTATGCTTGTTTAGAAAAAAACAAGTTTTCAAAATTTATTATTGGCTTTTAGAAATTTTTATCTGGCAATTATGAAATAAGTTTTGCATTGTATATTGATTTCAACTGTGATTTCAATTAGAATCTATATTACGGTATAGCTTTTTTTAAATGCTCCTAATTAATAAGTTAATTTAAAAATCTTGATAATTATTACATTAGCATTGGTATTATTTATAGGAGTGGGAAAATAAAGCACTTAGCATAGAACTACTAAACACATGTAGATTTGAATTAGTCTGGGAAGCTTTAAACACATTTTAATCTATTCACATTTTTTCTGTGTTTATGTAACAATACTTGATGCCATAAAAAATAATAACTTAGTTTTGCTGGAGTACAAGTCATTAAAGCTGATTATGTTAAAAAAAAAGAATCTCCATGCTAATAGTTTGTTTTCTTTACTTTCAAGTGTGATTTATTCAATTTATTTTATCATTACATACATACTATCTACATAAGGATCCCCGGTTATTCATATTTCGGATTATTAATATAAAAAAAAATAATTTAGTTAAAATTAAACCTAAGTGGTTTTATTAAGTACATTGTTTGCATTTTTTAATATGCATTATTAATAGTTGTTTAAGTGATATTCATTATTGTTTTTATTGTGTGCATGTTGCTATGACTACAGCAATTGTTTATGGTATGCCTCAATGTGAGAGTGGTATGAAAAAGTTACACTGGTGCCTGGTCTACAGTAGTGCTCTTGTTCAGTGAAAGATTAAAAATATTCCTAACACAATGACTGTTTTGTTGTTCTTCATATTCACAAAGTTTTTGTTGTGTGTGAAAGGGGGCGGTGTGGTTGAGCGGGAGAACATATAATTAATTAAGTCTCGAGTTCTGATCATTAAAGATGACACTTTTTAGCTAAGTACAGCAACCTATTTCTTGGACAAATGCTTTGGAAGCAAATCCTTAAAGAAGAGCCGGCAGAAGTAAGAGTCAATAAGCCAAACGGCGCTTAGTAGGCTTAACTTAACTAGTTGACTGAGACGTAGCCCCTCTTTACTGCCCCAGAGATTGAAAATCTTAAGTGCACCATCCCTGTATAGTTCTTTGGTCAGTAGCGTAGCGAGGGCGGGTGTTACCCGGTGCGGCACTGAATGGTGTCACCCCCCCCCCCCCCCAGAGGCATAGCGAGCCTTCCCGGGGACAAACTTTCAATTTTCGATTTGCATCCCCCCCCCCCCCCCCCCTCAAACTTTCGATTTGCACCGCCCATCAAACTTTCAATTTGCACCTCTTAAAAGACTATTTAACAATCGAATTAAACACTTAAGTGGAATTATCATTTTTCTCTATATATTTTGCTATTTTTTGCCTTGGTGTCACCTCCCTAAATGGTGTCACCCGGTGCGGTCCGCACCCCCCCCCCCTCGCTACGCCACTGTCTTTGGTATCTGAGCTTAGAGTACTTCCGTATTTAAACTGGACCTTTATCCAAGCCTGACCTACTGACTTTTTCCAACGCTTGGGTTCACGGGCAAAGTTTCCATCGATTTGAATCTTAATGGCGTTTCATTCTAGTAGCTCTCCTGCAATAAAGTATACAATAGTTAGATTCTCTTTGACCTGCTAATGACGCGTCGTTTTGAGGCAGATTTTTGTTTTGTCCTTATTGTTTTTCGTCAAATAAAATAATAGCATCATTACCTGGTTAGTTTACATGGCATTAAAGCTACAAATGCACTTCCATGTCAATTTTCGTTGTTACGTGTTAGACCAGTGGTTCTAAAGTTGTAAGACAGAGGTGTCTTTTTAATATACCCATATTAACTTTCCCTCATACATCCAGCACAGTTTCTTCCAGGCATCTCTTCGGAGGGGGGGGGGGCAATGATATGGAATATATATATATAATATATAGGACTACTTTTACCCCCCCCCCAACCCCCGTCAAAAAAAAATCAAGTGCCCTCGGAGAAAAAAGCTTGAAAGAAACACTGATCCAGCACATACTGTGGTTGTATTGTGGTTTGTATGGATGTGGCTGTGTGTGGATGCAGCGGCGTCAGTAGGGTCTGGAGACACTCGGTGCTGTAACTCAGAGTGGCACCCCCCCCCCCCCCATAGACGAAATAAAACTGTATTTGGTATCCATCTAACCCGTATTGTATCACTCTTTTACTAAAGATGTAGCCTATATAACTACTTAATGTACCCTTTCGAACTTGACGGTCCATAGGACAAGTGAAGTGACCACGGCATATAAAAGGATAATAATGTACGCGCTATGCCAAGCTGAAATTTGGTATCCCTCTATATCACTCCATATGCCAAATGATGTATATAACTTTGATAAGGTATTAAACAAACTGAAAAAAAAACCCTCAAAGAAAACACCCTTGAAAAAATTTGCTACTTTTCGTTATAATGTAACCCTTCGATGGCGCCATCTGGTGCGGTACGCACCAGTCCCAACCCCCGAGGCGTGTGTGCTACTTTACTTAACGGCCTTATTTAACTGTTTTCTGCTAAAAGCGCCCCGAACAAATTTGAGAGGGGGGGGGGGGGCTTTTTACCAATGTGAAGATCTATATATTTAGGCCTAAATGGCGGGGTGGGGGGGGGGGGGGTGCTGAATTAATAGTTCGCCCAAGGCACCAGAATCGTGTATGCCGATTAAGTGCATACACGAACAGTGAATCGGTATCAGTGTATGCCCACGAACAGAGAAAAATTTAGGACTATCAAAAAATGCTGCAGTGAACTCGTAAAAAACAAGTGCCTTTTAGTAAACTCTAAGAATGGTTTGAGGATGATTTAAAAACGTTTTTTTTTATTAAATAAAAAAAAAACAACAACATTACGATAACTATTTCAATGTATCAGTTCAGCATGCAAGCAATAGATTTTTAATTTAAAAATTGCGTGTCAACTGATTGTTGATTTTAGAAGATTCGAGAGACACACTATCAAGTACGAACTAATGGATATTGATAATGCTTTCGTTG